AGGGGGGGTGTTCAGGGTAAGTGGTTATTCTGACTGTGAGAGCAGAGTGTAAAAGTGAGAAAGACGGGGAGGCAGGTGCCAAGTCTCACCACAAACAATGTCTCCACTGCATGACTCACAATTTCACCACGTTTTAGGACGTGGAGCTTTTGTGTCTGGCTGAGGCTGAGGCAGTCGCTACATGAGAAGTCTGCTGTTGCATCATATAACATTATATGAACGTGTGTGCATTTACAGCACATGAGGAAGTTTCGTTAGGGAACAAAAATAAAAGCGGACCGTTTGGAGCCGAACATGATGGAATTTAGTTTAAAGGACAATCACTGCACCTTAATCCTCTTCGGTAAAATGTTCATTTTTAAACAGCTTATTTCTAATAGAAAACTACTGTCTGCAGTGCACTGGCAAATGTGTACATGTCCACTGATATTCAGACATAATTTCACAATTAAATCTGCAAGAAATTGTGATCGTGCTGTGGCTGAATCCGATAGTTAGGATAAAAGCAGCATCTGTGAGATTTTCAGTTTGCGAGAAGAATGGTAAAATTCAACACCGGTAACTTCACAAACAAAAAAAATCAAAGGATGTTTAATTGAGTAGTTTTCCACTTGTTTGCAGAAGATATTTCAAAACCACAGGCTTCAGCAGAATTGTACAGGCACTTATCTGAAGCCCCGCTGTGCATTTTCTTTGGTTGTCAGTGCGGTTATAGCCACATGTATTTCTTTGAATTAATATGGACGTCGTCTTACGGCAGATTTATGTCCTGTGTGAAATAAACAAACACTTGCCAGGTGTGCAACCACAACATTAAAATGTGACGGAGCAGTACTACAGAAAAATCTACTACGCCCTACTCAGGATGGCTGTTTGTCATCACTCGTGCAGGTGAGGGGAGCTTTGGGCCAAGAACGGACAGTGCTCACAGAGAGTCTTTTGAAAGTGCAGATGCATGTCTTCACAGACAGGGAGGGGAAAGTGCCTCCAACCCCCCCTACCCACTCCACCACACCCCATCCTAACACAGGAAGCAGCTGAGTTTCAGAGCAGAAGTGAACTTAAGAGAAGGGAAGGTTTGAGCCATGTGAAAAAAAAGAGACATCAAGCTGTCCATCGCACACGTCTGTGGCAATAAATACGCCGAGTTTCTGCAGCTAAGGACATTTTAACACAAGTGCTTATAGTGGGGCTTCTATATGGCCTGACACAACAAGTAGCTCAAGTCTTTTAAGGGCCAAGTGGCTATTAACAGGGGTAAGAAACAGAGATATGATCATATCTGAGTCAGTGGTGACAGGTGCTAAAAATGTCAGCCAGGCTTACTTTTCATATCGTGCAGGACACATCTGTGTCACTTGCATATTTTGGTCTGCGAGAGCGCTCAGGCTAAGACAATTATCAGGTAAAAAGACTACAAACAAGTAAAAGATGTGCACTTTACAGCAGGCCCGGTTTTAGTAATTAAAGGCAATTCAAATTGCTCTTTATTGCCACTTGCTACCATGCAAATGTACTCAGTGCACTTACACGGTTTCTTTTCTATAACAACTGTGAGAGCTGAGATCTAAACAAAAGCTAAAAGCACACTCCCTCCACAGTTTTACAGACCTGTAAAGCACCCTATTCTACTTTTATCATCATCTCTCAGGGCTGGGGAACCCCCTCGGTCCACCCCCTCCCCCTTTTAATGAATCCTGCATTCCCAGCTCTCACGTGGCATCTCTGCACTGTGCTGAATTGAGCAACTGTAACAAAGAATGGGGAAGTAGCTCAACGCCTGTTTGTACACGAGAAGTGTCTGTCTGCTCTGGAGGACCGCAGAATGAAAGCACAGAGAGGAAATGGCATTGCTGTAGATAGCGCGGTGGCAAGAGAGCGGATTTGTGACTTGATGTTAGGAAAATCTGCTAAACTGCCTGAGAACTAGGTCAACCAACATTAGAAAACAATTCTTGTGAATTGTTTTTGAAGCTGCTTAACATGAAACAAGATCAGGAAAAGCAGCAGCAACAGGATTGATATTTATATTTTACCCACATACAATTCCATTTGCTGTTTTGTCAACTGCTGACTTTAGCGTGGATCATCCACTGGGGAGATGACAATATCAGCTAACATCAGGCTGGATATTATACCAGCAAAACTCTAGTTATTTATCTATTATTTCAATCACACAAGCATTTGCACTTTTATTACACTTTAGCTGTAGCTACACATAAGAATCATAAAGCTAGCAAAGAATCTCTGTATGTACATTAGTGAATATTACCTGCTGCAAATGTCTGGTTATACACAATAACTCTGAAGCAGAAATACCACTGAAGTTAGCTGGATGTGTTACTGGACATAATGCTGGACAGGTTTCTTTGTCTTGTTTTAATTTACATATTGGCGGCACAACAAATGCTAGCCTTATCCTCTGGAGTACTAACACACTGCTTAGTAATTTACTTTTTGCTAAGAAAGAGTGTAAAAGACTCCAAGACATTCTGTAATTACTTTTTACCAAGTCCTGTAAAGCTCTGTTAATTTACAACTCCGCTGACTTGTTTGATACTTTATTAGGAGCTAGAAGGTTATTAGCCTGTTAACTACTACATGTTCTTTTAGATTAGTCCCTAGGGATTGAAAAGAGGGATTATATGAATAACTCATTTCAAATTCTGCTCGATGGGCTACTATTAAATTAAAAAAACCAAAAACATTTGCAATCATTTATGGTTTGCAAGCCTGCAAAGATTGACATATAGTTTCACAGAGCCGCTAGCATTGCTGTACACTCAGAACTGAGATTAGCTTAACTTTACACGGCTAATTTGGATTAGCTCATTTTCATGGCTGCAAGGTGCCTGAATTTAGGCCCATTAAGGCAATAAAGTCAACTTATTTTCCAGCTTTTACAAATAAAGGTAACATACAAATATGAAGGCTGTCAATTTAACTTAAATGATTCTATTTGGGGGAAATTGTACGGTTTGGGTGAGTATTTTCAACTGCGGCTTAATACACATTTGGGTTTCAATAATAAATATGTAAATAAGTAAATATAGCATATCTACCAATTTTTTTTATTCAGTTTTTTTTCATTTTTGTCTAAAAACATGTTTTTTTTTCTCAAACATAAATAACACTGACCCTTGATGTAGTTATAGAGCCACCGTATAAAAATTCAGAGCACTCACCATTGAAGGGGTTGATTCCTCTGGTGATCCTCTGTATGATGGCCTCTTTCACTTCTCTCCTCCTCACACACTGGATACCCAAATTCTGGAAACTGTAAGAAATTTAAAAAAAAAATGTCATGAGGAAAATGACAGCACTCAAACATGCTGAATAAACCCTGAGTGAAGGGAGCTCTAAAACTGTAAATGAACTCAATGATGTTGTTGTGTTTAAAGGTCAAAGTAATGACGCAATTACTCTCACCTATCCAGTCAGACCGGCACATTTTTCAGTAGTAAAGAAAACATTCAGTAATGAATCTACTGGATTAATTCTGTTTGTTTACCCAGAAGGCCTGAAATTCAAAATGATTCTGTATTTACTACAGAAGTCTGTTTGGGATTTGCAAATTATACACACCAAAAGATACTGACTCATTCACACACTCACACACATGCTCCAGCACTCACACGCGCAAAATTTTGTTTTCTCTCTAACACACAGCAAATATGGGTGATGTCACTTGGGGAATTCCCATATTGCCATCCTCACAGACATGGGTCGACAAATATGCTTTGTGTGTGTGTGTGTGTGTGTGTGTGTGTGTGTGTGTGTGTGTGTGTGTGTGTGTGTGTGTGTGTGTGTGTGTGTGTGTTGTAAGAGTTTCTTCAGCTGTGTCTGAGAGGACATCAGTTTACACATGATGCCTCCCGAAACCATCAAGCGAAAGACGAAATACTGTTAATAGAGAGCAATTCGGTTGTGCAGTGAGTGGCTCTGTGAGTGCGTCACAGAGAGAGTGGTTACTTATTTCGGTGAAAGTGTGCTGATTAAGATTGAGACTAGGGCTCTCAACGATAACAACTGGCAGCGAAGTAAGCAGACGCTGATAAAGAGCGAGTTTGGACAGGTGGAGGCGACCGTGGGAGGAGCACTCACGCGATCACTCTGCGGTCCGGGCCAAACTCGGCCTCGTAGAATCCATCTTTGCAGTCCTTTCCCACCAAGTCGTGCGGATGTGGTCGGTACGGCTCGTTCTTCGTCACCAGGTAAACGCGCACCTTTCCCTTCCCGCAGTAATTCAGGATCTGAGGAGAAGGAGGAATGGTGTGCGTTCAGACGCATGTAGAAAGACGCATGCTTAGGTGCTTCTACGCACAAATACACAGGTTACTGCGGTCGAGGAGGATTGGGGTCGAACCTGCAGGCTGGGGTACGTCCTGTTGTTGTCAGAGCTCTTCTCTCCCGGGATGCTTCCGGCTGAGCGACCCTCACACTTGTACCTGAAGCGCATTCCTCTCTGCTTGGGCTGCTCGAAGATCTGAATCCCCGGCTCAGGCACTAAGGAGGGGGTGACAACAAGCAGACGATAAACAGATTTGATAAGACGACAAAAGAAAACCCGAGTGTGAATCTGACACAGTTATCTGCTTTAGTTTTTTCCTGTTTGGGCTGCCACATGAGTGGTTTGGTGCTGGGAGGCAGGGGGCTCAAAACCTACATCTAACACTCAAATTTCTTTTTCTCAGCAAACATTTCGACATGTCGCAGCAGTAAAAATGCAGCTGTACAGGATAAAAAAAATTGCTGGCTGCTTTCCATTTAGCTGCCTCAGTTTCAGGTACAGTCATTGCCTTCTTGGGAACCATGATTTTAGTGACACCTGAACCTTTCCCACTATGTCGAGCCTGCTGTGAAAAAGGTTTATTATGGTTTAATACTAATCTTTAAGTACTGGTCTATGAACCTTAAAAGGAACCTATTAGGCCATTTCCTTTTTTTATTTTATATACTCTAACAATTGTGAACCTTCATATTAAATCTAGTGATTTACATCAGCACATGTGTAAATTTTTACTTCAGACTGCTTTTAAGGCTCCATTTTAGAAAGTTCATCTTGGCTCTGTGTGATGTCACTGAGAGCATCTATCCCTAATATGGTCATCTCATGCAAACAGTTCTGGCTGTGCGCACCTACTGCTGTTCCCTTTCTGAGGGGCAGCAAATGTCTCTTTACACGAAAAGGGCCTAAAACAAAGGGCCTGCACCAGTGTGATATTAAGAGGCATTATTTTGAGAATCAAATCATGTTAAGCTATTTCAGTAGAATCTGAGACTAAAAATATGGAAATTAGCAGGTCTGTTAGAAAGTGATTTCTACATACTAAAGATTGCTGCATGAACAGACCTATTGAATTCAACCCAGATGTGTAGAAATCTTTCAGCTTTCAAACAACTTAATGCTGATAGGACGTGACTGCAAATCTTAACACAAGTGTTAACTCAGAAAAGCACATTTCAGCCGTTCGGCATAATGACAAGGCATGAAATTTGTTTCCTCAACCTTTTTTTTTTTTTTTCTGGGAGGAAATAAAACCGACCCCACATGATGCCCGTGCAAGAGAGGAACTAAAACTGATCCGGGAAGCGTTTCAGTTTTTGCTGTACACTGTTTCCACTGAAGTAACAACACAAAACGTGGTTATTTTTGGACATGACAGCAAGCACACAGATCAGAGTGCTGCTTGTTATTCCGGCAGGCCAGTATGAAACAAGTCAAGTAACATTTTTGAAATGATTAAGAGAAAAAAAAGGAAAAGAAAAGAAAGAAAAGTGGCCCAGTCAAGTTTTGTCCTGATCACTTTGCAGGAACTGAAAGATCATGAGGCTCAAGCGCACTCACTACACACTATATAAACACACAGACCGGTAAAGACAAGGATTACAAGAACCTCAGGCTCTCTCACATCCTTACAACATAAGTCTGAAAATACAATGCTTACCAATAAAACAAAAAAGAGGAAGTGAAAAGACACTGTTCAGTGAACCATCACCACCCCCCCAACACACACATTTCTGCACTTTTAAGTTTTAACCTGTGAAGACTATTTTTGTCAGGAGCACAAATGAAATTGACTTACGTAGGTGTGCTTCGTCCCGCAGCACGGAGGACATAAGAACTGGGGAGGGAAATGTGAGACAGAAAAAATTTAGGCAAATAGATATCCAAATCACACACAGAGGAGTTGTTCTGTGGCAGTAATGGCGCTATTGCTAAAACTGGTCTTGTAAGCCCAATCAGTTTAGCTAAAGCTGCCCAACCAATAACACTGCTAGTCATGCAACAACGAGGAAGTTCACAGCATTCAGCAGTGACAGTACACACAACCAGTGTCGAATACTATCAAAGTCAAGAGTAAGTACTCCAGTTCGTGGTGATACTGTACAGCACGATGACCTATAGCCAGTACTACATTTTCGACTTTTTTACTGACACAGGTACACAGGTGTGGTTATTACCGTTTGTTTCCTACCCGCTCACTCTACACGTTTATCGCTGTTATTACACAGGAAATAAAAGGTGTTGCTACTCACCGTCCATGATGCAAACACTCTTTCACTCTGTCACAGGTTATTGTGTCTTGGAGAACCTCGGGCTGAATGAGTGACAGCGGGCAGAAAACTATTTTTTGTCAAGACACTAGCGGGGGAATTCCCGTCCGTCACATCTGATCTAGCCAATGAGAAGCTTCCGTGAAAAAAAAGGGCGGGGTCCAGACGATTCACTCTCAACTATGCCTCCTCCCTGCCCGGTCGCTCGAGGAAATGCACGGCGCGGTCCACGGGGGTCGGTCCTTCAGGGCTGGAGGTTAAAGTAGGTGGCGGAAGTGCGAGAATGAGGGTGGGCTCATACGTAAAGAGGAGCCACGCAACAGCAGCCGCAAATAAAGAACACGAAAAATTAGAGATAATAGAGATAATAGATATCAATTAGGGAGCACCACACGCACATCCACTGTGTGTTTACATATACACACTGTTATACACAGCAGCCGTATATATAACATATACAGCAGATATACTGAGCGATACCAAGTAAACACAGGAACAGTGCTGTCACTACCAATACTGATACTTTTAACATATAACGGCGGTAGGGGAGAGCAAGTATGTCATGATTTACGAGATGAATTTGCAAAATTCTGAACACATTTGAATGACCACCAAGTCACTGTGATTCTTTACTTTACACAGTAGTTAATACAACAAAACACACAGCTCAGCTTTTCATGTATGTTGTATCTAGGTTGTAAATGCGCTCGTCTCTAAAGCACTTTGTTGGCTTCTGCTGTGAACCTGTCCTTCCTGGGCTTAACTAAGCATCTCTGAGATATCCTATATGTTAAAAATTTAAGTGCTATTTCAACAGAAATAAGTCTATCAGTAAAAATATATTGGTTTAAAGTTAAGTAAATGTGCAAGATTTTATGACTCTGTAACTTACTTTGGTGTGGCATAAATGGGAACACAGAAAAAAAAAACTTATGAAAATACAGGTAGAAGTCAAAAATTTCTTTATTCCTTCACATTTTCCAAAATCATCCAGTAGGCCGGATTGAATTCTTTACCAGCCGATTCTGGACCCTATGCCATATGTTTGAGGTGTATTTTCTTAATTTCTGGGGGAGGAAAAAAAAATCGTATAAAACAATTTAGTGGGTTACATACTGAACTTAGAGGATCAAAGCAAAGTTATTATAGTCCTAGTACCAGTATCAATCCGATACCACTACCAGCATTGGTATTTATACTTTAATCAGCCCAGCTCCAGTGTTTTCTCTGCTGTTTTGTAGTTGATAGTGTAGGCAATTGGCTATTCTTTATTGAATCTGCAGCTCAGAAAAACATCTGCTATTTGTTCATGACTTTTTTAGCTTTAGAGTTGCCAGTATGCAAGTTCTCAGGTTAAGCTGCCGCACTAAGTAACATTTGCAACCTTTATGACAAGCTGAACGCTCTGTGCAAGCATGAAATTCAAATTGATTTTATATTTCTTCTAGATGATTAGAAAAACAGTACATTTGTGAGAAAGTCTTAGTGAGATTCAAGGTTTTTTAAAGATTACAAATATATTATGTTGAGGAATCAAAATGATAATGGGAAACAAGGTGAAGGATGAGGTCAGCAGCTAACTTGGGTAAAGAAGCTATACCTCATTTTAATATAGTAATGTCAGCATTACACTGCTTCTCACTAAGACAGGATCTGCTTTGTTCATTCCCAGTTTCATATTTTCTAATTCGTTTTGATTTCATTTCTGACAATCCAGTTCAGTTGCTATATTAGATTTAAAAAATAATAATAACAACAACAACAACAATCGTATGGGGTAGTTGCCAGAGGAAAGATTTAGGAAATTGTGTCCCCCCCCCCCAATCTAATGATTTTTTTAGTTAACTACAGCAACCTTGGCCCCTTCAGCTCATCTGCTCCCTGACCTGCTTTGGCTTTCTTCCCCATTGCACACAAAGAGACTGGATTGTATAGTTACTGGCTCTCATTTATTAATTCTTAAAAGACATTTTTTACTTCAACGATAAACATTTCCAGGAAATCAAACACGGCACATCAGTTATCATCCAATCCCATCGCTCCCATTACGGCGTTGTCATAGTTGTAATTATAAAATTGAGGAAAAAACAAACCAAACCACAGACAGCACATTGTTTTTAGGGGTTTAATAGGTGTACAGTTGTTTAAAGGAAGTGATAAACACATACAAAAATACCCTTTCAATACATTTTTAGAAACAAACATCTAAACGACCTGTTTTGTTAAATGTTTCTGAACAGTAAAACATGAGTTGTCTGAAACAGAGTGGTGCAGATTCAAAAGACCTACCTGCTATGAATGCTATTTAAAAAATAAGAAAAAATCAAAAAGAAAAAAAATCACATGGTACAAATATGCAAATATAAATAAAGTGATAAGAAAACCCCCAAATAATGAAGAATATGCCTTTTGGAAAAAAAACTGTTCTCTGTACATTTAGTTGGGGAAACTGATGCTAGAAAGCCTATGTCCCAACTGTCAACCTGCTCCAATGAAGAGGGCGCCCCATTAGCATCGCTTTACACTTTACTATGTTTATATTTATATATCCTCTGTACTGAAATCAAATGCAAAGACACCCAGCTTCAAGATGGAGGGTTGGGCAAGGCAAGGCAAGAAAGTAGTTATCTCCCGACCCCTCTCCTCACCACCACCACTGCCACTAGTGGCCCCAGGAGATGCCTTTTAAGAACCTCCACAGGAGGCGCAGAGGGTTAACACCCATATAGAAGGGAATTTTGTCTCTCTCCAACACATAAACACAGCCATCTATGCATGCACGCTCACACACAGTCAACCAGATATGCATGCATACACTCACAACTCTTCAAAAAGCTTCGAACCATCTTTTTTTTGTTTTGTTGGGTTTTTTTTCTTGTCACAAAGCACCACAAACTTCCCAAAAGGACATGAAATGCACTCACAACCGGGACCTGGTTTTTATAAGGATCACACTTCACAAGCAAAACCAGACCACAGTGAACAGGTGGAGGGGTGTGTGTGTGTTTGGGAGGGGGTCAAGCAGTATTTCCAAACATTTTGTTTAGTCCTCCTGATGGACTAGAGCGAAATTACTACGTGTCAGACAATCAGCCAATCACAGACATAGAAAGCACTTCGGGGGAGGGGGGGGGTGTCTAAACCGTTCAACGCTCACGTTTTTGTGTCAGGACACTTTTCTGACATCTAAGGATTGAACGAACGTGAGCAGAAAAAGTCAGCCTTCTTGTCCAATCAGAGACGGACGGGTGCGACACTGAAGCTCAGACAAATAGAACTATAAGCGTCTGTGGCACTTTGATATGGTTCTGGTGACCGTTCCTGTTGTCATGACAACATTTTCTTGCCCTTACCAGCCCCTGAGAAGCTCTTGTGTTGCCCAAGATCATTTGCGCGCCTACACCTGGAGTCCATGCTGGTCCAATGAGCTGTGGTTTTAGTATCCAGTCACATCCAAGCACACCCTCATTAAACCCTCCCTGCAACCTATGCAGTATCTACTGAAGATATCCAGGGCACCGGACAGTTTGTTTTTGGACAAGCAGTAGAGAAAACAAAGAAAAATTACATTTTTTTTATATACTTTTTTTTTCCATTTTTAGATAAAACTACAATAGAATGGTCAAAAGTTTTAACGGTGATCTTTTGCTCCTTTTTAAGACAAAAAAAGTTATGTACATCAACATTTACTGTACAGGTTTCTGTTGAGGACAAAAGAAAATGAAGGAGTAAAAGAAAATCAGCATACACCAGAAATGTGTGTAGCAAGTGCTGATAAATGATCAGGGCCTTTTTTTTTTTTTTTTTTTTTTTTAAACTGGAAAAAGGAGACGATGAAATAGAAGGACAGCATGTTTTCCTCTTGTAATGTGTAGATTTCTAAACACAGAGTTAAGAAGAAGAAAAGAAAAGAACAAAAACCTGCTGCTTTAGTTCTCGTGTCATATCTCCGAGACTGCGGGAGGGGGGTTAAACTCCCCTCTGGCTGTGAGTGTGTGACAGCAATGGCCGAATCCCCTATCCACTGGCAAGACTGTAATCTCCAAGTCTGAGGTGAGGTGTCTGTGCTGCTTCACGCTTCAGACTGACTGACCTGAACGCCGCCGCCTGTCCCTGTGTGAAGTCACGTCCTCGGTGTTTGACTTGACTTAAAGCTCCTCACCTCGGTTATCTGTGTGAATCCAGTCTTTGTTGGCAGTTCAAGCTATATGGATTCTGGCCTTTTCTGTTTCTTTCAGCCTTTTGGCCTGTTCCTCCGACGATGGCGAGTGGGGTCTCTTGGAGGCTGCTCCGTTCAGAGGGTCGACTACTCGACTCACTAGCGTGGGGATGGAGCTGCCGATGGGAGGCACCACATGTTTGGATGTCACATGTTCTACAGAGAGAACGATTGGGACAGAAATGGTGAGTTTTTCCACTAGCCTTTGTATTATATCTTAGCTTAGCATGTGCTAACAAACTAATGGAGAAATTATGCAATACATTTGGATCTTCATTAATGGATAAGATAAAAAAAAAAATCACTTTCTTATATACACACACAATACAATCTAATAGATCACAAAGAGTAAAATCTTACTTGACCAACTCAACATCGTAAAGGAAAGCAAAACAAAGCTCTGCTTTTACTTTAAAATGATATGGAAAATGTGGTGTTTAGTGGGGCAAATCAGAAACGCAGCAGGTCGCTAAAGAACACCTGTAGTGAGCAGCACTGCAGATGCACCAGTGTGGTTTGCGATTAGCAGCACTGACGCGTCACCAAAGTCGACAGCTGAGCGGCGCGATGGAAAAAACATCTGAACTAATGTAGTGTGCATCACTCAGAAATGAGTGCAAGATCACCGTTCTGGAGGTCACAATTAATTCTAGGACAGCTGCTGGTAATGTAGGCTGAGGTGATGGTTACCATTTAAAACAAATGCTGTGCTGTAGTGCGGCTTTGGGGTTTGTTACTGCGTTTGCTCCAGCCATTACATGCTGGTTCATAAGTATTTTGTCGAAAAATCTTTAATCCAATGCTACTGCGAGCTGAAAAATAAAAGAAGTGGTTGAAGTTGCCTAACCTCATTTTTTTATCTGATTAAAAAGGTTGATCTTTTTAAAGGAGTTGTTCATTTTACTTTAGGGCATGTCTTTGATCCAAGAACCAGGGTTGCTAACCCTGATAACACACATCTGGGTTATTTAGCTCTTTAACATAAATAAATAAATAAATAAAAGCACAGGAGAATTTGATTACAGAAGCTTGATTAAATGATTTGATGCAATTGATGATATATGACCCTATTAATTCTTTGATATTCCACAGGCAGCAGTATGCCATGAGTGTTTTTCAAACAGGTGTCGGATTGTTCTGCCGACCTGTAAATGACCAGATCGCAGGGTGATTAATCTCTTGTCCTTTTAAAGTAAACAAGAAAGGTAAATATAGTCTCTGATAACTGACAGGACGCAGCAGTGACTTTACTACAGGTTTATTAAAAAAATAAAAATAAAATCTTATGGACATCGCTGCCATTTGTTTGTTGATTGTAATTTATTAGATTTCCAATTAATGATGTGCAGTTTTATGAAAAGAAGCTATTGAAACAGATACTCACTTGAGCCAATCACAGGAATGGACATGCCCTTTTCCTCGCTGGCAGCAGGAGCGTCTGTGGTGAGGGCGTCCTCAAACACGGGCGGCTTGGGAGGTGTGATACTGCACAGACACGTTGAAAAACAAGCAGGACAACACATACAGCACATCAGAATTGCATCAGTGAAAGCAGCACTTTCAACTACTAAATGTGATGGGAGAAAAACTCCATACATACAAATAACTGATGAAACTCACTTGTGGCGGTTGAGGGCCAGTTTAATGGAATTTTTCACAACACGACAGCTGTTACTGGCAGGGAGAGGCGAGGAGGCATCAGGCAGCTCCATGCTGGGAAGTCTCTGAGGGAGGAAGAACAACAGCAGTGTTAGAAATCACCTCAAGTCTTTTAATAAGTGATTTAACAAGTAAAGATAAAGAACTTGCTTGTGTTCTTGAGGTATCGATGGTTGGAATGGGCTTTGCCTTTGATCCAGCAAGAGAAGTCTAACGAAGAGAAAATGTAATTTGTTTTTATTGCTTTACATTACTGAGAAAATCCTTTATTATTAACAGTTAACAGAGGCAGACACAGCAGCAGTAACACCTACAATGCTGGATGCTTCTCCGTGTGTTTGGGGGTCAGACGAGGGTGGATATGGTTCTTTGAAGGCAGCGTCATCATTTGACACCACCTGCAGCAGCAAAACACAACAGTGTCAGCATCTGGTCCATTCTTTTAAATATGTCAATAAGTTGTCCAAATGCTTACGTCTGTGTTTTTTGGCCTCTTGGCCGGGTCCTCTTGTGTGGGCGAGTGCGGTCTCTTGGAAGGAGCTCCGTTGACTGAGTCCTCCAGGCCGTTGGGCTCCTCTTTGGGGCTGCTGGTGGCGGTAGGCTTTGTGCTGCTGGTGATGGAGCTGCTGGCTGGTGGGGAAGGAGGCTTTGCTTTAAGAGGAGGTTCTTCAGGATGTGGAGGTGATGGAGTTGGGAAATCGAAAGAGGACATGTTAGAGACCAACTTAACAAGTGCACAGTAACACTTTCTGCATTTCCTTAATTAAAGTATTGCAGTTTAAATCGACATTTCTGTTAGGAAGCAAAGTAAAACATGCATTATACACAGTCCCTGTGTGATTTTATTTTAACTCACTTGTACCAATAACAGGGATGGACATGCCCTGGTCTTTAGCTGCAGCAGCAACAGGAGCAGGAAGAGGAGCAGCAACAGCAGCAGGAGGAGCAGCAGCAGGAGGAGCAGCTGCAACAGGTGCTGGAGAACCCTCCACAAAAAGCTGCTTAGGAGGACTGACGCTGCAAAATGAAGAGCAGAAAACATGACAACAATTTGAAGACAACTGTATTCATGAGGTAAAAGGGGATTAGGAAAAAAAGGACAACACTAACAGTAAAAATTACAAGTAGTGCATCATACCTGTCGTCTGTGTCAGATGTAGGCTTGGAGGGTTTGCTGGGCGGGGAGTTAAAGGGAGTCCCTGAGTCTGTGTCTCTGGAGCTGTCCAGGTGACTGCTGTCGAGGGAGAGCCGCTTAGAGCTGCCACCATTAGAACTACGGTTCAACTCTGCTATGCTCTGTGGGAGGACAGATTTGTTAAAGGAGGAGAACAAACCTAAAAACAAGACAAGCATCGCAGAGCAACATCTTACTCTCTTTTTCTTCTGCACCACTTCAGGAGGCAGGTACTGATGGAGCTGCTTCTTCTTCACATGTGTTGCTTCAATCTTCATCCCATCCTTCAGCATGTTGATGTTGTTGGCTTGTCTGTACACTGATGTGCACAATGTCACGTTAACATTGACAGGACAGACAACGTGTACAGGTGTATATAAATGTTTGTTAAACATATAAAAATCATACAAATAAGCTCCGGTCATTTCTGCCAATTTACTCAGTGAAACACCTGAGATGTATCTGTGGTATGTTTGTGTCCTTTTTTTAATGTTAAAACTCCATTTACACTAAATGTAACAACATAACTACAGCAGCAGAAGCGCACAACCTACACACCACTATAAACCACAGTAAATGATTGATTGTTAAAGTTGCAAAAACTAGTGTTTTTTAAAATTTTTTAATAACCATAAAAAACCAAACAAACCCAAAAACATCTCCCCCCACTTTACTTTGCCGTCAGCCCATTTTCAGTGGAGAACTGAACTCATCACCTGCGCTTTTGAAAGCCACCAGATTTGTTTGACTCATACAGAAACTTTACGTTTCAGAGCTGTATGTTACTCAGCCGCACGAATGATTCATCACACTGTGTGAATCTGAGTAGTAGGACTCAAAAGCCTAGCTAAAAAAAACAAAAAACAATCTACTTGTGTATTCTGGAAATAAAACGACTGTTTCTGTGTGGATAGGATGGAGACAGTGTGTGTATGCTCTGTTGGGAAGGACTGCCGTAAGATATGGTGCAGCAGTAAAAACATTTTTTGCTTTCGCTTCGGTACCATTACTCTCTTCAGCTTTTGCAAACTGCGGACATAGAAAAGACTATAAAGACTAAGCACAACACGGACATCTCATAGGATCCCTTTAAAAAAACCCTCAACAACAAACATCTGAACTAAACCTTTGGAAAAAGGAGCTAAAATGTTTGGAAAGGTATTTTCTGCAGCAGTTCCATTCAGTTCATTTATAAACTCACCTGCTTTCCCTGATATATACACTAACGTAGAGCACATGTTAATGCTGAAAAAAACAAAACAAGCCATTGTCCTTTTTCCTAGAATGTTCGAAAAGATTTAGCAGCAATTTTTCCTTCAGCTCATTTAAAACGCAGAGTGAGGTTAGACCTACCAGTGTCTGTGAAAGACTGGATGTCATATGTCAAGTCTATGTTCACACTCTCTGCATTCTCCACCTTCTTAAAGATGATCCCAATAAACCACATTGACACAAAATCGTTCCTGTTGGAGAAAAACACAAAAAGAGCACGCTCCCTTAGAATATGTCTCGATGTTCTGGTTGAGCGTCTGTGGATGAAGCTGGACTCACTCGTTCCGGTTCTCTTTAGATCCTGGGAATGACTGGGGGTTTACATGAGCCAGGGTAATGTACTCGTTCCTCTCCAGGTTTCCCACCAGAACACGGATCTTTGACTCCACCAGGCCGATCCTGGGGAAAAAAAACAAACAAACAAAAAACAACAACATTAAGACGTGGTCAGGGAGGGTACACCACAAGGCTGTGCTGACAGGCAATGATGTCATCGATCGATGATGGTCACAGTTAAAGGTAATACCTCACCAATCAAGGTGATTTTTATCTATACTTATCTGATGCATGAGAGCCGCATTAAATTCAACCTACAAAGCTGCAGATTCCCGTCAATTCTTCACAGATAACTTATGCTTGCAACACAGCGCGCACACATCTACACTCTGACTCCTGCGTGCTCTGAGGTTGGCGTGTATGTGACGCGGCAACACTGATTCATCAAATAAGAGAAAACAGGAGAATAATTCTGACTGCTCAGCCTTGATTACACTTTCCGCGT